ATCAGTCATTAAACAAGTTTAAATGTTTTATTTAAGGAAAATTGTACAAAAAGGGTTACTATAATATAAAAGAATACATAAATTAAAATAATCCCTGGGAATGAGATGATCGCCACCATGCTGGTTCTATAAAATTTCGTTTAAAAATTATACAAAATAAATTTATTGTAAATTGTAATATGCTTTAAAAAAAGTCCCGTCCCGTTTCTTGCTGGTTCTTCCCAGGACACAGGTTTTTTTCGAACCAGTGGTAAATAAAAAATGACTTTCAATAAGTATAACACAATAATCTACTATATTGAATTAAATCATTTATTTGGTTCAATTAATTTCTGCCAAAGTACAGTGTCTATTTATCTTTGGGCATAACATAACGTTTGCTGCGAACTGCACAATTTGTAAAAATAGGTAAGTACTCTAGGCTGTTACTGCGCAATAACTGTGTACAATACAGTACCAGCACCAACCAGAAATTGGTGACCTACGAAGTACAACCAATAAGGATTTTGGATCAGTTTCCTTTTGCAACACGATGAACCTGACTCTAGATACTAGAGGCTACTCAAAAAGTTCCTACACCGTGCATGACATCCGTAGCTAGTTATTTTCTAGTTATGTGGAAAGAGAAATACGAATGTAGATCCTCCGGTGAATTAATATTGCTAGTGAAAATATTTGGTGTTGTTTGTGTTTTACGCACTCTAGTGTTGAACAACAATAAAACAAATAGTGTCTTAACTTCCCTGCCCTTGCATGTGTTTATTGATGTCATGAATGAAAAAGTTTAATATTATTACATGTGTTTAAAAATGGTGTTTCTTTTCACCTCTTGCTCGCACACTGTCGCTATCTATAGTCACATCCGCTGGTAAAGACCGCAAAAAAAAAATTGGTTGACGCTGCAGGCCATTCCTGGAAGTTTTTCAAATTCAAAGCGCTCCAAATTTCACCAAATTATGTCATTGAAATATCGGAGTAATATAAAAAAAAAGCTATTTTGTCAAAAATTTTCGTTAACGATATCTCACGAACGAATCAACTGATTTTAACCGGACCGGCGGCGATCAACGTGGTTTTTCGAGGTTAGATGATGATTAGTTTTTGGAATTAATCGGTAGTAGGAAGTTATTAAAAAAAAACAGTTTTTCAAAATTTTTATTTTTGAGATTTCTTAAAATCTACTAGTCCGAGTTAGTTATAATTAATAGAAAACCTAAGTTTGATGAAACACTTTGGAAATCTGCTTAGTTCATTTCAATCGGGCAAGCCGTTCAAAAGTTATAAGAGGTTTACATACATCCGCATACACACACATACACACAAACAGACATACAGACACCATCTAAAATTGTCAGGGAGGCTTCGTGTGACCTCAAAACGATGAAAACTCAATTTTCGAAAAACGAGGTAAAAACAATAAATTCCCGATTTTTGAAAATTTTCAATTTTCTTAGCGGTAAGTTAAAATGCGTTGCTATTATGCGTTTTTTTGTGCGTTCTAAGTTCAGTTTCGTAAATGGTCTTTAATGATCATTTTAAATAAAATGTTATTTTAAAATGAATGGTACCTACTTGCGGATATAAATCTTTTCAAATATTTTCCCATGTAGAAAATTTTCAATTGACTGAATATAACGTTAAAACTATATACCGTTACTAGCGGATTTTCGTTATTGGTACTGTGTATGTGGACGGTACGGGCTCGATGAGCACCATTTCTAATCTATGGACTGTACTTATAACTATGTACTAATTTTCATTATTATATAGCATTATTAACTCACAATATTCACAACTAACTTATTTTAATTATTTCATATATGCTCATTCAAAATAAATTGTCAATTTCACTTCCATGAAAGCTATTTTATAATATCTTTACTTTTTGCACATTTTTTAATTCAAAATATAACTCAATTTTGACTGCACATAATGTAGTATACAATCTTTTCTTACCAAATAAAAGACTTGTTAATAAGTATTATACTTTTAATTTAAGTTAATTTTATTATATAATTAATTTTATTATTTACCGATAAGATATATGATTAGAATACTGTTAATTTGTAATTGTGTTATGTGTATGTCTTGACTAATATAGTTAAATGTAAAATTACTTCACCTTAGAACTTAATGTGTCAATATTAATATTAAATTTAGTTGTGCCATATGTTTAGTATTCTGTTAACATGGAGAATCCAATTCATGACATGAATGTTGAAAATGTGGTAGCAAACAGGGTAACTGTCCGTGCTCCTCCTTTCTTTTCTGACCGTCCCGTACTTTGATTTTCTGGTCTCGAGGCCCTATATAAATAGAGACACAAGAGACCACTAGATACTTTTATGCAATATAACAACAAGTGAGCAGTAGAAATGGAGGACATCATAACTGAATAATATCAAGAACTTAAGTTACAGTTAACATAACTCATACATACCTTTGGTTATTTTCTATAATTTGGTTTCATGTCGCGTGTCACACAACATATGCGACCTATATGTATGTATGTATGAATTTTATTGTGAAACAGCCTGAATACTGAAGTCCATTTCTAACAGTCTTTCAGGAACTGCACCTATATATATATATATATATATATATATATATATATATATATATATATATATATATATATATATATATATATTTATGTATGGCCTCGTGTAATAGTAGATTGCCCCGTTGGTCTAGTCGCGGGTTCAAACCTATATTATTTATTGGATTTTTCTGTCAACCATTCTCAGTAGCACGACCATATACAAGACGCGGCCATATTCGACATTAGAAATGCATTTATTACACGATTTTTAGAGTCATACGATGAAAACGTTAGAAAATTGTTAGAAAAAGAGGACTTAGGCGAGAGGAAGCCATCGTCCTTCCTTCGTCATCTTAAAACACTTGCAGGCTCATCATTTCCCATGACTTCGGACTTTTGAATGCCGGACAGACACTAAAAACGAATTCGCACTACTGGTGTATGTATCAATAGATCCATGTCCTTGTCATCCTCATGTGTCAATGGAATGGTTGAAAGGATGCATCGTCACGCACTAATATATCATTCTAATACTTGGACGAAAGCATTACCGCTCATCCTCCTAAGAATGAGAGGGACTCTCAAGGAGGATTTGAAATTTCGGCAACAGAACTGGTTTACGGAAAATCGCTGCGGTTACCAGGTGAGCTAATTGCGCTCCAAAAGTTTACGAAAATCCTGCAGACTTTATAGCAGATTCAAAATAGAAAATGAAAATTTTACGTCTCGTTTCTGCATCTCAATACACGTGGTCGTCTACATTTAAAGATCTTGCATTAGGCTTCTAACGTCTGTCTTTGTGGTGACACAGTATGGCGCCCTCTACAACCATCGTATACGGGTACTCACTCAACTATTTAGAGAAAAAAGAAAACGCTGACTTGAGACATCAATGGTAGAAAGGTCACTGTGTAAGTATTGATCGTGTAAAGCTGGCTTTCATCGAAAATATTGAAGTAGGCAAACAAACTCTTACTCATATGGTCCCAGCAACTACTACTACTCCCACTCCTATAATCGAATCCACCCCTCATAACATAGTTAAACCACCCGAGACTAGATTAGTTACAGTTAACAAGAATAGGCAAGGCTTAGAGATGTTTCAAATATTTAGCAGTTGTTTTTAATTTACTATTAACTAACTTTATTATTCTACGTAAGGGGGTGGTGTGGCGAAACGCCAGGTAGCAAAAGCACAATGCGTCTATTAATCTTTTGGCATAACGAATGCGAACGGTGCAATCTGTACAAAAAGGTACTCTAGGCTCTTGCTGCGCAAGAACCTGTGCTGTTATTTTTGTGGTACCACTAACAATATATAAGTTCTAGTATTGATGTAGGTTTATTTACTATCCAAGAACACATAACCAGCACTAGCCATATATCTAATTTTATGCGCATTTTCTACTATTTTTACCTCTCAACCACCAAAAGTACAAGAAAGGTGTTAGCAGTTTATAATAAGACGATATCTACTAACACTTCATCCGACCTAATTTTTGGTAACCATATAAATTATTTTTTCTAAATAAAATTACTTTTCACAAGTTAATCTAGGCTCACATTAGGCACAAACATATTCATTTTGTCTATTCTTAGCTAGTATTTGACTACTACCACTAAAACTACTTAATTTTGTGCACATTTTATAAATATTTATTAGACTTAAATAATCTTGTTAAATGTTAATTCTATAAAACAATTTTCGTGGATCAAATTAGTAAAAATAGACTCACATTATCTGGCAACAATAGGTTTCATAAAGTAAAAAGTAAAGTTACAGCCTATATACGTCCCTCTGCTGACAGGGGCAAGGAAGTGTCCGCCGCGCTGCCCCAATGCGTGTTGACGAACTTCACATGTCTTCGGAACATTTTTGTTCTTATTCTTCAGACATGTAGGTTTCCTCACGATGTTTTCCTTCACCACCGAGCACGTGGTAAATCAGCACTTAAAATTGCAATCAATAATTTCATTGGTGCCGGCGGGGATCGAACCCGGGTTACTCGCGTTCTGTTATATTTATAGCGAGCGTTAACCATCTGAGCTACCACTGCTCTCACGGGGGGCTCTCACGGGTTTTATAAACAAATGAAAACTACCCAATTTCAGTGACACTGAATACTGTACAACTGCACATTCTGAAAGGTAAATGAAACACATTTCTTTATAAGCGGATTTATTATACATAAAACATCTAATTTCGAGACATACGCACTGTGGCAAACTTGTACGTTTTACAATACTCATACAATTTTACAACAATATTTTATGTGAGAACTTTAAATCACGACTACCAACGATATTATTTTTTAATGGCCAGCATTACAAAAATAACCTATTATATAATTAAAAAAAGTTTAACCCAAATCATCTTCAAAAGTATTTTAGTACATATTCTAATTTAACAACTTTATGAAATCAATGAAAATAACACAATGGGCAGTTATTACAAATTTCAAAGGTACGCTGCAGAAGATGTCAGTAGTTTATGTTCTTTCATCTTTCGTACTGGTTTATTCTGCGCAAGCTGCTCACGTCCATACCGTAAACGGCAAATGTAGCGGGCTCCTTGAACCGCACCTGTGAGATAATTAGTTTCAGTGAGACTGACTGCAATTGATATACGAACAACTGCAATCTCCTAACAATTAAATTATCTACTGATTTTTAAATTTAAGTTATTAAAAAGCCATTTTCATTAACGGAGGTGTGTAGCACGAATGGGTCGGTTCTACCGGGGTAAGATCACGCTCTCACAGAATACCAACTTAAAATAGTGTGTTTCATATGATGAGTGTAGAGAACCGGAGCCTCTGTTAATGGAAACGAGGCGTTTCATCTCAGTCCTCAGGGATGTCAACGAATATCCATTTTTATTTCGTAATTGAGGATAAATATAAATGTCTGTGGACCACAGCATCCACTCAGGTGGGAGGTCTATGTTCGGCTGTGGGAGGCTGTGATGAATGGATGGGTATACATAACTGCACCCTATAAATTTTTATGGGGTGAAAAACTGGACAAATCGACCACTTAATGTTGTTGTTCTGAGTGTTGTGTTTCAATTCCAATAAAAATAGGTAATAATAATATTTACCACTGATATTTAAATATTAGGGATATTATTATAATCATTTCAAAAATGAATGGGCACATATTTAAATTTCTTTCTTTTTTCTTTTCTTTTCGTTAGGATAAGGATTCTCTCTTGTATCGTGGAGGCAGTTCACAAACATAAATTTCACAAGGACAAACATCCAGACCCGGAACAATTACTTGTAGGCTATACAAATACATGCTCCGTGCGGGATTCGAACCCGCGGCCCTTTATCGCTGTAACTCATTGCTCAGACATTTATTATATTATATTAATAGACATTTCTAGTGATTTGTAAATTACTATAGCAGTAAAACACAAACAGTAATAAAAAGAAAATATAGCAGTTATTTCTTCTTACAATTCAGGTTCAAAAATTATTCAAGCAGTGTAATAAATAAACGGCAAGTAAAATAATGTAATAGGCAGTCAGATACATAGTTGGGACAGTTCACGGTGAGCGGTAACACTCGAACATCACTTCGATTGAAAAGAGAGGCAATCTTCCATTAAAGGCTTTAAGACTATCCTCTCTGGGAAGTGTCAAATCGTATGACATACTAATGTCATGATTCAATCTATTTTTCAATGGGTGCGTTTGGCAGAAAAAAGCGCTAGCAAGCGCTTGTAAGCATAATGGCAAAACTAAACAGTTTTCGGCCAGGACACGTTTGCTAACTTCAGTAGCGCTGACAGAATCCGCCATTTTGCTTATTTAATTTGTTTGTTTTGAAGTAGAGTTTATAAGTTGTTTTGTGCAATATTAGTTTTAAGTGATATAATGACACGAATAGACATATTATACATGTTATTAAAAATTCATGATTGGTAAGTTTTTAATATGAATACTTTACAAACATATATTTAAATTAGGTTAGGTTCTCCCGGTTAAAACTAACTTCGTGTCCTAGAGGAAAATAGCTACTTACGATTTGACAGCGCTTACCGCTTACGATCGCGATTTTGCTTACAAGCGCTTGCTAGCGCTTTTTTCTGCCAAACGCACCCAATAATAAGTTGCTAAAATGAATACGTATTTCCGGTCAAATTGGTAGTAAATCTGCTTGTCTCTGATTGGTTGGTTTGAAATTGACTATTCCTACATGCACCAATCAGAAGCAAGTTAAGAAAAGTGATAGGGGAAACGTTTTTGCTTTGAGATGGAGCCTGCGGTCGGAGCGTCATTCCTGTTGGAGTAGCGGTGGCTTCTGGTCACGAGATAAATTATTCGACAAAATAGTTTTATTTAATTTTTCATAATAACACTGTATTATAATTTAAGTTGAAAAGTAACCAGCTACGTTACGTTTACGCTACGTTATAATATTTATCTCAGAATGTGAATTGTGGACGACACGAATCAGTTACAATAAATCCGTTTTCCTATTACCCTTGAGTTTAATTCGTAAAATCTCAGAAGTGGGATTATTCTCTGCTGCCCACATTGTTTGAAGGTATGTACAATTGAAAAAAATTTACATTTAAATGCTTATGGCCCTTTTGACATACTTGATAAATTGATTGAATGCTTTTTGCGACAAAATAGAAATGTTAGTTTGGATTTCGTGGCACAGTGTACACGGTTTGGGGTCATTTTGGTCGGGGCAACTCTCCGATAATGTGCCCGGGTAGTGTTACATTGTTAAAGCCACGTATCGATTTGAATTACTAGTAGTTGATAGAAATAGCATTTTGATTCGCAAGTGAACATTTGGTCAAGGCGACTCCTTGATAGTGTTTGCTGCGGGGATATTAGCATTTGTTAGTAGATATAGATACTTACGTACACCTTTAACTCTTGTCGAAATGGCATTTGGGCGAGGCAACTCTTCGACATTTCAATTTCGAACAAGCGATATACTGAAATGCATCGCACGTGAGAAACTTGGTTGAGGCTACTCCTCAATAGAGTCTTGCTGCGATGTATTTTGTGTTAGCTAAAGTCTTAGTTGTTACCTACACTTTTTACACTTTTACGAAATGGCATTTGGTTGAGGCAACTCTTCAACAATTCCATTTAGAAGAAGCGATATACTAAGATGCATCTCATGTGGAGCGCTTGGTTGAGGCTACTCCTCAATAGTGTTCTACTGCGATTGTATTTTGTATTACTTATCATACTTATCAGTCGGTAGAAAAGTACTAGTAATTTATTAAGTTTTGTAAATATTTTTGTTAGTGTCAAGTATGTCATAAGGGACTTGTATCTAGTAAGTACCAAGTGTGTCCTTGTGGCCAAGTGTGCGGGACAAGTGTGTCCTTGTGGCCAAGTGTGCCTCTAGTACGGGCCAAATGTGTCCTTGTGGCCATGTGTGCCTCTAGTAAGAGCCAAGTGTGTCCTTGTGGCCAAGTGTGCCTCTAGTAAGGTCCAAGGGTGTCCTTGTGGCCAAGTGTGCCTCTAGTAAGGTCCAAGGGTGTCCTTGTGGCCATAAGTTATCATGTGCATCACCCACTAGGTAAAATTTCGTTAATTTTCTTATTTCTTATTTTTTGCATAATTGGAATTTTTGCAAAGGCAGAGGTGTGAACGATGTACTGACGCCTCACTTGCAAAAAAAAACTTCCTAACCCTAAATTTAATTGGGTACTTGTCCGTTTGATTTGAATGTATCTTGTCCTCCTTAATGAGATCAATTCCTTTATATTATGATACAACTCTTATCATTATTAATTTTAATGATACATTTCTTCACAAAAGGGTAATAAAAATAAAATATCAGAAAACTTAACTAAATATTAAACAGAAATATTAAGAAACTTAATGCCTCTAGACCAAGATTAGGACATCCCACAGTTCTCAAAACAAAAGAATTGCAGCGATCTGACTTGAGTGAATATGTGCTTTATTGATAAAAATCTAATGCTTGATCGTGTTTTCGAGGATGAATCCGGATCGGCTAAGAAACCGCAACAGGAAGCGGAAAAGTACTTTTATTCCATCGCTTGCACCACGAAAACGAAGAGGTCTTGACGTAGCTGCGATGGCGTCTTGGGTCATCGGGGAGGTGGACACTGGAGCGGAGGTGCAACCAGATAACCGTACACCTGCACCTCTCAAGGTACCCTCATCGGATGCAGATACAGCACTTACCGCTGACGAGGTAGCCAAGCTGATTTCATTTTTAAATAAGAGCAAGAATTCTGAAAGACTGAATAGTAACCAGCTAAATAATATTGTTCCGGAGTTTGATCCATCCAGTAGAAGTCAAAGTATAGATATTTGGTTAAATAAAGTCAACGAATGTAGTAGTATTTATGACTGGGACGAGAAGCAAACCATTCATTGTGCTTTGCAGAAATTAACAGGACTTGCAAAAAAATGGTTAGAGGCTTTGCCCACGGTATTTAATAGTTGGAGTGATTGGCAGGCAAAGCTTCGTAAAGCATTTCCTTATGAGCAAAATTATGGTCGGCGTCTCGAAGAAATTCTTAATCGTACAACACGTGTTAATGAAAACTAACGCGAGTATTTCTATGACAAACTGACCTTAATAAATCGATGTAAAATTGTGGGAAGGAAAGCCATAGATTGTGTAGTTCACGATGTTACTGATAAATCAGTTAGGAATGGTGCTCAGGCATTAAGCTGTAGGGAACCAGAAGACTTGCTAAGTTATCTCAGTTCGCAACGCGTCTCCGATTCTTTGCAATTTTAAAAAAGCGATTGGAAAGCACTTCCGAGAATAAGCTCGTTAACTCTGCTACATCTTCATCTGATAATATCACCTGTTTTAATTGTAAGGAAAAAGGACATTCATTTTATAAATGTCCCAAACCTATTACCAAGTGCCAGAGTGCCATAGAGTGCCATAGCTGCAAACTTGATCCATTAACTATTCGCACAGATAGATAAAAAACCGAATCCTGAGAGTGAACGTAAAACGATGTCAATTTTTACATTTGATAGTAACAAGTTTCGCTTCTGATCCTCTTGTGTTTGAGCCAAATACAATTTTAGCTAGGGCTAATTCTTTTGTCGAAAGAAATATTCGTAACATTAATAGAATTAAGAGAGATACGTCATCTCTGAAGCCACTTACACTCTTATGAGCTGGAGACGCTGGCTATAGTCTGCTCTTTGAAGAAATTCCGAATGTACCTTTTAGGTATCTTCTTTAAAGTAGTTACTGATTGTCATGCTCTTAGGACGACTCTTACTAAACGCGACCTTCCATGCATAGCTAGGTGGTGGCTGCAAATTAGTGAATTTTCATTCAACATCCGGGTACTCAAATGGTTCATGTAGACGCTTTGAGTCGAAATTAAAGGTTGATTTATCCTACACAGGATTCCCTTTGCACAGTTTACCGAATAGAGACGGACAGTTGGTGGTTGGTTATTAAGGATCACAAAATTTACAGGAAAGTTGATGACAAATTGCGTCTCGTAGTTCCCCGAAGTGCACGTTTCCAAATATGTCGGTTCAATCATGACGATATAGATCATTTAGGAATAGCAAAGACCACTGAGCGAATTCAATCACAATTATGGTTTCCTAAAATGCGCCAGTTTATATAAAAAATATGTAGGGTCCTGTTTAGAGTGTGTGTACAATTAGGACAACGCTGCTAAACAAACAACGGGCCATTTGTTTCCTATTGAGAAGGTTGAAATTCCTTTACACACAATCCATATAGATTATCTAGGTCCCTTTGTGAAGAGCAGGAAGGGGAATGTTTACTTATTAACTGTCGTGGACGCTTTTACGAAATATGTTTTTTCAAGGCCCGTGAAAACTACAAAAACTAAAAGTACGCTCAAGGTTCTTGAAAATATTGTTTATGATATTGGACTACCGTCCAGAATCATTCTGATCGAGGAACATCATTTACCTCCAAGGCGTTTAAAAGATTTTGTGATTCTCACGGAATAAAACATGTTCTAAATGCCGTCGCGTGTCCCAGAGCGAACGGCCAAGCTGAAAGGTTCAATCAGACGATACTAGACGCTTTGACTAAGTATAGCGAAGGCAGTGACGAACGTGACTGGGACACGTATACGGGAAAAATACAATGAGGCTTAAACACCACTATCAATAGCTCAACCCAAAAGACTCCGTCGGAAGCCTTGTTCGGTATCAAACTTCGTGATAATATTTCTAACAAACTCAATATTGATACTAAACTTGAGGATTTGAGCGAGTTTAGAAACGAGATCAGTACCAATATCAGAATTGATCAAGGCAAACAAAAAAATCGATATGAAGCTGGACGGGCTCCCGCCGTAGTTCATAAGGAGGGCGATTTGGTTAAAATAACGAAGACGAATTTTTACTACAAAAGTAAAAGTACCAAAGTTTTATCGAAATTTACTGGCCCGTATATTATAGTTAAAACGTTAGGAAACGAAAGATATAAGATTGCAAATATTCTGGGATTAAATAAAAAGAAGTCATTTTAGATCGTCGTTGCTGCTGACAGAATGAGGCCTTGGATAAACCAAAATCTTAAAGAGTCACAAATAGATGAGCTTTCTAGTACCGGATCTGCTGAAAGTGATCAAGACGATATGCCTCTGGCCGAGTTGCAGCGACGCAAGCAAATGATATAAAAAAAATCTAAAGCTAGGGATCTAGATCGAATGTCATGATTAATTGACCTCGTGTTATAAGATTGTATTATTTTATTTTTGTTTTTTTGTGTGTAAAGTCACGATAACAAGAACTAATGTATTAGTTGTTTAATTTTACGATGGCAGGCAGTGTGACGTTGACATCCAGGTTCAAACTCAAATGATTTGCCTGCCACCGTGAAGAAAAACAAAAATTGATTGTACGTACTATTTGGTGATCGAGTAATTTTATTTTATATTTCTGCATTTGGTTGTAGACCTTAATTGCTAGATAATTATTAAATACAATATATGTATGTTAATATTGAGTGTGATGACCGAATGTCATGACCTACGAGCACTTACAGTGCTCGTAGGTCATGATTCAATCTATTCTTCAATAATAAGTTGCTAAAATGAATACGTATTTCCGGTCAAATTGGTAGTAAATCTGCCTATCTCTGATTGGTTGGTTTGAAACTGACTATTCCTACATGCACCAATCGGAAGCAAGTTAAGAAAAGTGATAGGGAAAACGTTTTTGCTTTGAGATGGAGCCAGCGGTCGGAGCGTCATTCCTGTTGGAGTAGCGGTGGCTTCTGGTCACGAGATAAATTATTCGCCAAAATAGTTTTATTTAAATTTTCATAATAATACTGTATTATAATTTAAGTTGAAAAGTAACCAGCTACGTTACGTTTACGCTACGTTATAATATTTATCTCAGAATGTGAATTGTGGACGACACGAATCCAATAAATCAGTTTTCCTATTACCCTTGAGTTTAATTCGTAAAACTAATTTTTATGTCGTTGGGTGCTCTTATTGCGTGATTGTGTGTTCTCCTTTATATTATTGTAGCTTTTATCGTGCCCAGAAATACTAGAGCACCCAGAAATACTTTCAGTTATAGTTGGTTATTTCTTTTACCACCCGAAAATACTTGAGCATTCGGAAATCCTCACAGATGAGATGGGTAACCATGAAGGCTATAGAACAAGGAGAACGATCACTACGTATTAAAGCATAGCCCGCCTGCCCTTGAAAATTGTAGAATACATAGCGGCGCCGACGTCGGTGAGTAGTGACTGCGAAGTTAGCTGTTTATGAGTACATGTGAAGTTAGTTAATAATATACAAATTTTCCAAGTAGGTGAAGTTAGTTGAATAATGTACAAATTTTCACATTAAAAATTGCCCGTAATTTTGTAATTTTTGACAAAAAGAAACTTTAAAAAATGGAGAAATATTTTATTGTGCCTGGATATGCAAGTGGTTGAGCATCTGATCGGAAAAATAGACTGAAAATGACTTTTATTGACTGCAATTAGTGATCGCAGCGCCTCGCTGATGGTGTCCATATTTCTGGGACACTATTTTCTACGGCGATCGTTCTCCTGTTCTTTAACCTTCATGTGGAAAACAATCCGGCTCCACCCGCCCCTCTCCTGACGGAGATGACAAATGTTATCATTTTGAGGTTAGGTCTATGGGTTTTTTTTGATTTTTCTCAAGAACGTTGTATTACCTTGATGGGAGTGGTGTCGAGGGCTTGGGGAAACTCGCACGTCCCCACTCCTCCCCATCCTATGCCATCCCACCGATTCTACCAAACGATTCTAAATTTTAACCAACTAAAAATACCAAAGTAAAAGTTATATCCTTTCATAGTCATATTATAAAAGCAGTAACAAATTATTTATTTTTTTACTCCACACGCTGAAATAAACAAGGAATACATTTTGGGTATGTTTCAAAATAGAACCCAGTGTACTGTCCAATGCAAATATCGTGATGAATCGACGCTACACTGGTGATCCGTTCCTAAACAGAGGACAGTATATGACGTCATGCATTGGCACCATATTGGAAAAGTGTTGGCGATTATTTTGTCATTTTGTGCTCCAAAAATCATTATATCCTCCTAATGGAGATACCAGCAATTATTCTATGATTTTTTTGTATTTGAATAAATAAAAACAAATTCTGGCATGCTTTATTCAGCGTACACACAATTAAAAGTTGTTTTATTATGGCCGGATATCCGACACAATATGGTGGCGGCACCAGTACAATATAGTGTCAATTGATGACGTCATTTGTATTCGGCAGTAGGTATACTGAAAACGTTTTGGAACATACCCTTTACCGCCTCATTTGTCAAAAACTGTTTAGAAGGAGATTTCTTACCGACTATAACCGATTTTTAACTGGCCACTAATAACTGACCATTTAGTCATATTATTGCTCCATATTTATTTTACTGCCTATTTAAATATTTTGTACGAATCATTTCTATTTAGTTTACTGCTCACTTTTTACTGCTGAACTTGTTAACAAGCATGTATTTTGTAATTTTCAACTTATGAATTTTACAATATTCAACAGCAGCTTTTTAAATCAGGGCCAATAAAAATACGCTATAACTTTTCAACCTTACAGGGAAGTAATAATTTATCAAAATTATTGCTCACTTCTGACACGATTGTAAGAAACAGGTAGTCAAAATAACTTACCTCTTTCTCGTCATCCTTATTTGTTTTCTCTTTTTCAACAGTTTCTGCATTGTCCGCAATTACCGTCACCTACAATAATCACTATACTTTATAGATATAAGTAAAACAGGAGCGTCTATTGTTCTTCCTTTTTGTGTGATTACTTTGGATTATTCCAAAACATACGAACGTTAAAAAATCTATGACATCTAAGTATTTTTTTACGTTGCCGCACAACGAAAATTAAAATGTGTTGTTACAAAGGAAAACATTTTGCACAATACAACATGTAAGGTGTAGTGCACATTAGATTCAAAAATTGTTACTCTCGTTAGGAAAGATAAAATGAAATCCACTTAACATAATTTTTCATACATTTTATATTAAGGACGTAGTTACATTTTTGACGTGATCGAATTTAGATATTCGAATTGCAAGATGACTTACGCACGCGCACATTGAAACGGTTTTCGGTTATATTTTATATATTATACGTAACTAAACTTGATACTTGCTCAGACAAACAAAGAAAGAAAGAATGCGCGCTTGAAGCCGAAACCATGCTCAATTTCTTGATACACACTAAATAAAAATTAAATTTTTATTCATATAATTTTCGTAAACATTTCACATGGTTTAAATTTTTAATTTCTTGGTGGGAGTGTGTCGAGGGCTTGGGGAAACTCGCCCCTATTATATAACCTAACTAAAATTATATAACCTAAATAAAAATATATTTTTAGCAACTTTTTTCTTGGGGCTTGTCAAATTGATTGTTGTTGTAATTGACTTAAAAAAGGAGTAGGTACTCAATTCAACTGTATTCTTTTTTATGTGTGGTTACTTCAGAACCTTTTTCTAGGTGAATCAATTTTGATGATTCTTTTTTATTTGAAAGGTGGTGTGGTCCCATATAAATTTGATCAAGATCTGTACTGATACATTAACAATAGTTTTTGAGCAATCCTTAATAATGCGTATTTAATTGACTTCCAATATGTATTGGAAGTCAATTAAATACGCATTATTAATATTATATTTAAATATTTATATATACGAGAACATCAATGTTGATGTTCTCATTTCATTTATATTGAAGTCGGTTGTACAAAGTTTTTCATTTTACCACTTGTTTGCTTCTTAAGTTTATCAACTATTTTAGATATTTAAAGTTTTGAAATTGACCCTCAAATGGAAATTAAAAAAACTTCTGTTTCGTTTTCTTGATAGCACCCACCAATACTGTATTAATATAAAATAAACTCCTATAAAAATCATAACTTCCGTAATTCCGTACGATAAGCGTTGATGGATATTATTAGATTTGAAAAGTAGTCGGCGATTGGAACGTATGTACACGTCCAGCTGACTCTCAGTAATTCGAAACTCGAGGGACTCTTAAAATATTACGAATTATCGAGTGTTTGAAATATCAAATGGTTCGAAATTTTTGAGAGAAAATAAATAAAAACTCGAATTATTAAGTGTTGATCAATTATTATTTATTACCTGCTATTCTTTAACCCATTCGATGCCACCTTTTTTTAAAAGTTGTTGACCAGGTGCCACCAGTTTTTATTATGTTTTATGGTAGGAAATGGATTACTAATGATGTATTTAGATTTTTTTTAAATAAATATTGTTGATAAATACGAAAAAATACACCAAACGCATACGGTGCGTGGGTGGCACATGGTGAAAAAAATTTTTCGAGAGATCCGAGAACGCACTTTTGAGAGTATATAGTGGATGGCTTTATGCACGACTGGGAAACATGAACCAATAGTTAAATTGTTAGGGTTTAGGGTAGGTGACAGAAATAAAAATACTCATATAAGATCAAAGCAGTCTTTAATTCTCCTTTTTCATAATTATATTATAAGTACGTATTTTCATAATAATTATTACTTATAGTAAAATGAAAAATATTTATTTACCAAATACAGAAAATATTTTAGCCCAAGAGATTCAACATAGTTATGTAAAACAGTATCTAAAAAAAAGCTAAAAGATTAAGCAATGTAGGTATTCTAGCAGAATACATAATACAAGATTTTAGTAAATGATTTGTTATCACAGTCTGCTTGGCCAACCATATCGATTACAATGGCCTTCGAAGTTGAATGTAATTCTGACACATTTTCGACAGACCAAGTTTTAACTACACCACTAGAAGATGTGCAAAGTACTAGTAACTGATTGAATAGTTGTTGTTTACTGAAACAACAATATTCTATTGAAAAACTAAACTTAAAAATACTCTCAAAACTAAAGAAAAGAAATGTGTAGGTTACCTACCTTTGAACAGAATGTGGGAATGGCAATATTGGGCATCGTGTTTCAGTAGAATTTCACCAAATATTCTTAGGTTCCATTGCCGTATATAAAGAGCTCGCCCTTTTCCGCTTTAAACCTGATGTGCTACTTTTATCTCTGAAACATTTCTATTATCCGATTTGTTGAAATTTAAAAAATAACAACATTCAATATATTGATTTTAAATAGATAAAATCATTCTAACCATTCATATTAATAGATAAAGATCAACTGTCTGTACCTATCTTGTGAATAACTTTCCTTTCTAGCTTGTAAATTAGTACCTTCGGCAGTATGTAGTGACAATTCAACTAAACGACGACCTCTATTATTATTTGCCATAATGCTTGAGGAGAAAACAAAAGACCTATAAACGACAAAAATACTAGTTACTTTACACAATTCATCCCATTCAAATTTAAAATTAAAAGCGTTTTTTCACAAACGGTTTTATTTTGTACCATGTAGGGTATGTAATACGAACACTGACGTTAAATATCTCAAGTTATAAAATAACATTATAAAGTTACAATAGCAGTAGTAACATTGAGCGACCGATTATTGTCGATGTGTAACACCATCCATGAACAAAGTCGTTCATAAATGCCATTGAACGCAACATTAGCGTTGGTATGTTTTGGACTTCAAAATTTATCCAAAATATTATCAGTAGACTTAAAATTACGATGTTGTTATAAATAAATGACTAAATTTGATTAAAAATTCATATTTACTTACCTTTTAACACCTAAATCACTGTAAAAACCTGATTTATAATACTAGCAAAAATCACAAACACAAAAACCGGCGTCAATTCACATGTGACATTTCTTTTACTACTGTAACGGTGTTGCTATATCAGAAATATAATCTATATTGAGGTGTATTAAAAAATGGCAACAATAATGCAACGCACAGTGAATAAATGATACTTTATTAAAACATACACTACACGCATACGGGTGCGTTGCAGGCACACAAGTAAAAAAACTAAAACGCACGCGAGTGCGTTGCTGGCATGGAATGGGTTAACAATAACAAAAGTTTAGATGTACATTCGTGTACATCAGTGATTCCCAAAGTGGTCTATATCGAACCCTATGACAACCTGCAAGGGGTCTACGTCAGCGAAAAAAAATTGGAGGTCCATGAAATGAAAATGGGGGTCCACGATAGTGGCTCTCTAGAGTCGCAGTCTCAGAGCTTCGCTACCTTGCACTGACTTGTTCAATAATATAAATATAAAGATAGTATATCACACAAATTATAGTGAGTCAGTGTTATTTTGTTTCAGAGCGCTGGAGAATAGTAAGTACATTATTTTTTATTAAATTTTAGTTTTGTACTCGTAGTTAGCAAAGATAGATAAATTACGACAATCATGACTTTAGTTATTAGTAATTTAATATTCAATCATGCAAAATTACACGAGTACTCCTCAATAGTTTCTTTTTGAAAGTTTTAGCAATCGGTATTATAAATACAGTGCAATCTCCGTAATTCGAGCTAATTGTTGCAAGAAGATGTCCGAATTACGGAATGTTTTCGGAAAAATCAAAAAATATTTTTAATATACAGCTGCTGGATTTTCTGTCTTTGTTTTAATCAAATTTAAACTGTCTGACAGTTTAAATTTGATTAAAACAAAGTTCATCTTAACAGCGTTTCTTGCCAGAGAAACTAACGAAGAAAAATATTGGACGGGGCGAATTTTCTCACCCAATTTGTCACAGACAAGCTGCCAGGAAGACGACGTTTCAACTTACGTTCAACATTTAAATGCCCTCTATTCATATTTTGTATCTAGGTTTGACGATATTTTGACTATGGTAATACCAGCGTGGATAATTAATCCATATGGTGACATAGAAGAAACGAATGTCATAATACAAGAGGAACTGAATGAACTAAGTACAAACGAAGAACTTAAGGTTCAGTTTAAAAACGGATACCAGCAATTCTGGCTGCAAAACAACATACCCGTTACTTATCCCGTATTATGGAATATAGCGAGGAAATTTTTAATTTCCTTTCCATCGTCATACCTAGTGGAAAGGGGGTTCAGTGCTGTTACCAATCTCTTAACGAAAAAAAGAAACAGACTGGGCATCATTAGCCGAGGAGATTTTAAAATTAACCCTTACAAAATTGACGCCAAATGTTGATAATTTATTATTAAAGCATCAGGTTCATCCTTCTCACTAAAAATATTGACTTATTGCTTATGTTATTTTATTTATAGTTTATTTTATGTTTATTTAATGCTACGTATATTTTACATAACAGATACAAAATTTTATTTTGAGTAGTTTTAATTTAAATTCAATTAATAAATGTATAAATTAACATTTAAGTTTTTACCACTAAACTTCACTACAGTTAGAAATTTACAGGAAATCAATATCAGGTAAGTAGAGGGTCTACCCAACACGGAAAAACATGGCAAGGGGTCTACGACACAAAAAAGTTTGGGGAACTCTGCTGTACATAATCATTATGTGAATTAATTAATCTTTCGAATGAACTCTTATCATACTGGTTTGCTTCAAAGCATATTGCTGGTGCTCAGACTGCTTAATAACTTTTTTTAAGAGAAAAAGTGCCTAAAATGCTTCATCATTTCATCACTTTCGTTTTGTAGACAGAAACTTAGTAAGGTATCGAATGAGGCTCTTGCTTCGTAACTAACACCTCTGCCAAAGGTTTTTAATTCGTGTGGAAGTCAAATATTTAAAAAACTTCAAACTAATCATAACAAAAACAAAGACTCGTGT